CTCTCAGTGCTGAGGCATCTTCTGCTGTTTTGATTGAGCAAAGTAGGAGGGTATACTGCTCCAAGATGGCCGCCGTATTTGCTGCGCTGGAGCGACCAATGCGGGGTCTACTCTTATATTATGTCTATGTTTAAAACGGGTGTTCAGAAAAGCAGAAAATGGAGGCAAAATTATTTTTGCTGTATTACACTTAAAATTACACAAAATGATTTTTTACAATGTTTTTAGGCGAGAATGTAGATGTATAGATCTCAAATATCTGCTTGGTTCATCAATAAATCACCTAATTCCAATATTGCTCCGACGTTTTCGGAGATTTCTGCTCCCACTGCATTAACAGCCAGCTCCCCTTGCCAGCTGTCAGCTGGCCTGGAGCTCCAGATTCGGTACACCGAGAGAGAACCCATGTCTCCTGGCAAATCGTTTTAAAAACTCCCGATAGTTTTCACCTATGAGTGGAGGTGAAACACAGATATTAAGCCAGGTAATAGCTGTTAAATTTTTTGATTCACTAAAGTATTGCTGCATTTCATTTGTTTGCATCTCTTTTTTGTTTGCTGCATTTCATTTGTGGTTGTATTCTTTTTTGTTTGCGTCTATTTTTATGTTTGCTGCATTTCATTTGTGCGCGTGTCTTTTTTTTTTTGTTTGTTTGCATGTACGGTGGCCGACAGGTGCAGTCGGCCACCGTATTTTACAAGAAATAATTTAAAAATACTAACAGAATCAAACTATGCTTCATGTTCAACTAAAGACACCATCTGTTTCTGAATAGTTATTAACATGATGTAAAAACTGAATTACCTCATAAAAGGGATGATGTTGGTCTGTGGTGATGAGTTCGGTCTGTTGATGTCGGATCGTTTTTTCATCTCATATGTTATCTGAAATTGCGCTGTTGTAACATCGTTTCTGTTAATTATCCAGGATTTACGTTCCCACCTTAAACGGAAGATAATGGGAAAATTTCTGATGTTACTCAGAGTTTCTGAAACAGAAAACTTTACAGAGCAGCAGACAAAAAAACTGACAGGAGATTTAATTCAGTAGGAATTTTAGATTTAGTGACTTTATGGGAACAACTGGAAAAATGTTAGATATTTTTGTTGAGATTCAGTTACCCGCTCCAATAACGGTCAAAATTCCAAGTTGTGATCTTCCAGGTGTAGTCTTTCAGACACCATTCACCGCTGCTTTCATCAATCTTGTTAGTGCAACACCACCATGACTCAAGCTCTGCACATGAGCTGAAGCTCAACTTAATGCGACGCACAACCTGCAAATTTAAAGTGAAGAAGTGTTAAATACACTTAAAAAAGGACATGAAAGAAACTACAGAACATCTGGACTTACTGTAGAACTGCTTCCTTGAACATTTTTAGTGGTGTGGGTAGAAACAACACCATAATAACCAGCTTCTGCCCAGCTGACTATCAGCAGCAGCAGCAGAAAGAGCAACATGATGAATGTTTCAGTTCTGCCAAACAAAGATGGTATCATCAGGTAACCTTTGTGGCTCTGCTGTCGTAAGATGCTTTGGTTATGCAAACGCCTGAAGACCAGAGACGACAACGTGATGCTTTATAAATATTTAAAAGAGTTTGTAGGACTGAGCTGCTATTTATTTAGTTTTCTCCTTTTAATTTTATATAGGAAGGAAAACGTTTGACATTTAGTGTATTTACCTTCGAATTGTAAGTCTTGGTTAATTTTATAATTTCCTGTTTGTAATTTTTGGCATTATAGCTCACTCTCCTGTAAAGTCAGTCGGGAATTTAAAACGAACCAGTTCCGAGAAATGAAATCAGGAAAGTATGAGAGCTCTTCTGTTTGTTTCTCTTTAGAGTTTTTCTGCAGAGATTTGGATTAAGTGACAGAGATAATTTTTATTGATGGTCAGAATTACCTTAGAAAGAGGATAAAAGCACTGAAACCTAATTTCTTCCCTGTTTGCATGTCAATGTCTGCATGTAACCGTAAGTTAAAATGAGAATTGAGGATTAACTATGTGATGTGAACTAACTTTGTGTTTATTTAAATTATTAATGCAAACGTCGAGCATTGTGGTAGCTCCAATTGTTTGCTTTGCAAATAGCTAATTAGCATACTGGTGGCCTTTAGCTCACACTTGTTGGGTTTATTCCAATTTGACTGTCAAATTCTGCCTAGATTATCCATGCAGGGGTTTATATTGTTTTTATAGGTTGGACTTGATGTGTTATTTTATCGCAACACTGGAGGTCAAATTACAGATTGAATTATTTCACACTGGGCAGATTTTCACCGTCTGTACAGGACGAAGCTGCAGGATCCACTGGAACAAAGCAGGAAGGAACAAATTTAGAGAAATAGGTTTATGAAATATGGTTTATTTATTGCACAAACAACTCTGCAGCTTTTTCAAAAGATACATTTAGTAAACTTACACAGTTGCATCTCTCAGCTGTTCTGACAAGAGGCAGATTTTTGTTTTGTTACATTTCTGTATTCAGACATTTAAAAGTCAAAGGTCCTTCAATAATATTTAATTTTAGTTTAATATTGACAGTTAAATAAGGAATACCAAATAAAAAAAAAATTACAGTAATGTGAGTTAAAATAAGCCAACTGAAACATTTAATCAGACCTTTGAAAACAAACTGAACAGGGATTTTGCTCATGTTTTTTTCTGGTGTTGCATAAATGTGTAGAACCAGAACCGTCAGTGAGGATGATGTTCTTTCTAGGAAGGTCGTCCATCATCAGGTCCACTAATAGTATACAAAAATATTAAATACAGAAAGATTCATCTTTCATTTTCACCGGTTTATCAGTATGTTTTCCCAGCAACTACTGGTAAGTAAATAAGTAAATGTATAAGATGCTTTTCACGGAAAATAAAAACAAAATCCATCAAGTCCTTTAAAATGTAAATATTAAAACATGATTAAAAGTTGAAGGTTAATCAGGATTTTAAAAAAATGAACCAGTGCAACGACATGAAAACATTAAAATACGAGAGCTCTTCTGTTAGTTTCTCTGTAGAGTTTTGCTGCAGATATTTAGATCAAGTGATTATTGATGAAGATCAGAATTAACTAAGAAAGGAGACTAAAGCACTAAAACCTCATCATTTTCTGCATGTAACAGGATCTAAGTTAAAATGTGCTTTGAGGGTTAATTATGTGATGTGAACTAACTTTGTACACACCAACTTTGTGTTTATTTAAATTATTGACGCAAATGTTGAGCATTGTGGTAGCTCCCATTGTTTGCTTTGCAAATAAACAATTAGCATACTGCTAGTCTTTAGCTCATACTGAGCTGCATCTTGCATGGTAATGTGGCAGCCTGGGTTTTCTTTAAGGTCATGAACTCAAATAGGGGATGTTAAAGTTACCAAGAGTGAAATAAACCAGCAACGCCACCTGGAAAACTGAGTTGTAACAAGGACACAGTTAGTATCTGCTGGAAGAAAGAGACAGGCTTCAAAAAGCTCTACACAATGTGTTGAAGTTCAGTATTTAAAAGCACTTTCCAATTGGCAACATCCTAAAAGAGAATGGTTAAGACACAGTGAACGTGGTTCAACAAAATTGTTGGTTGAAGTAGAATATTTAAATCTCAGCAGAGAGGCTGACCAGTGGAGGAGGTAAGGAGAGAAAAGAGCAACGTTTAGTGAAGGAAAGGGGATCGATCACTCTGGACACGATAGCAAACAAGGAAAAAGGTGCTCCAATGAAATAAACACACAAAACAAACCACCACAGGAGCCTCAGTCCCTGAAATAACTAAAGAAAACAACCTGAACAAAACAGTGGACTCACAATATCACTAAATTGCACTTAGATCATATAAGTGGTGCAGTAAATGCTGCAACCAGCGGGCGAAGGCCCCAGTTAATATTTTAAAATAGTTTCCATAGGCAAAACAGCATCAAACATCTCAGATTGAAAACTGGTAGAAAGACTCATCAGGCAGCTAAAATGAAAAAGGCTATTAGTAAAGTAAGTAAAGTTTATTTATAAAGTGCTTTTCACAGACATAAAACCACAAAGCGCTGTACAATACAAATCAACATTAAAACCATACAAAACATAAGAAACACAGTAAAATCAAGAGGTAAAAGGCTGGGAAAATAAAAATGTGTTTAGTTGGTTTTTAAAAACCTCCAGCAAAATGGAGCAGCAAGGGTTAACAGTTCCAGATTGCAGCTGTAGCAGCGCAGTGCGAGCTGCGTCTCCTTACAGAGGAGAGTTAAAACCTGATCCAGCTACTTGCTCCATTGCTACTTTACGACCATCAAAGATTGAATGTCCACAACCTCATAGTTTTCTTTATGCTAAATATTTATTAGTTAAAGTTGGTTTGCAAGTGTCAGTACAGCTTAATTCAGTAGCAGATTTAATCAAATAAAGCATAATCAGTGATCTTAACCTAACCTTTCTGTCCCTTAGGCTGACACTGAGAACTCAACAGATATCTTTCATTAACACCCTGAGTGGTTCGTCCATCTGGTTCCTGTTCAGCGTGGTTCATCTTTTACTGGGCCCTGCATCTCATGTTCCAGTCAGACGCCTTTCCTTTTAGTTCTCCTTATTCCCTGCATTCTACCTCCAATACAACATCAGTGCAGTTACACATTTTGCATCATTTCAAGTTCATTGTCAAAATCACATCTATAAATTCTTCAGCTTCTCTGATTTAGCATTAAAACAATATTAATACAAATATATTGCTTTGGGTTTATTCAATTACTTAAAGTGATAGAGATTCATTTAAATGTACAAAAATTAAAGTTGATAAACCCAGTCATATTTTAGTGCACGGATCACATTCATTCTCATGTTTAGCCACTAGGGGGCAGCTGGTTTTTAACCTGCACTGAACCGTCGCTCAGCAGGCGGACCTTTATGTCTGCAGGCAGCCCTCGTCTGATCAGTTCATCTTTAATCTGCAGAAGAAAACATGAGATGAATGTGAGACAAAGTCAGTGGTGAATTATAAAATATACTGAAAAGAATCTGATTAACATTAAGAACAGCAGCAGAATTTAACACTGTAGCAAAACCTCAGGTTATGATTTAACATTTGGGGTAAATTAGTTTGGGCTGAACTCAAAGTCCAGGACATCACTGACCGCTTCCTCCATTTCATCCTTGTTGTCCTTCAGTGACAGCGTAGTCGAGATCTTCAGCTTCAGAACCGTAAGACGAGCTGGAAGAACAAGAGATCAACATGGTAGAAAGAACTACTTCCTGTTACTTTCAGTCCTGTTTCCATCTGACTTACATGTTTTAGGAGGAGGACTTGGAGTTGTCAGAACAGTCGTTGCAACAACAGTTGTTGAATTCAAAGTTGTTGCTAAGATAAGTGAAACATGAGTTCAGGACAAGTAGCAAAAATAAATCAAAGATGAAAAAGAAAGAAATAAATGAAATGAAAAATAAATTGTCCTACTTACATGTGTTAAGAGGACTAGTAGTTGTCAAAGGGGCGGTTGTTGCATTAACAGTTGTTGCATTAACGGTTGTTGCATTAACGGTTGTTGCATTAACGGTTGTTGCATTAACGGTTGTTGCATTAACGGTTGTTGCATTCAATGTTGTTGCTATAACAGGAACATGAGTTCAGGACAAGTGACAAAAATAAATCAAAGATGAAAAAGGAATAAATAAATAAAATGAAAAATAAATTGTCCTACTTACATGTGTTGAGAGGACTAGTAGTTGTCAAAGGGGCGGTTGTTGCATTAACGGTTGTTGCATTAACAGTTGTTGCATTAACAGTTGTTGCATTAACGGTTGTTACATTCAAAGCTGTTGCTAAGATGAGTTCAGGACATAAAAATGTATAATACATCAAAGATGAAAAATAAATCAATTAAATAAAAAATAAATTGTCTTACTTACATGTGTTGAGAGGACTAGTAGTTGTCAAAGGGACGGTTGTTGCATTAATGGTTGTTGCATTAACGGTTGTTGCATTCAAAGCTGCAGCTATAACAAAAACATAAGTTCAGGACATAAAAATTAATAATAAATCAACGATGAAATATAAAGAATTGATTTGTCATCCTACTTACATGTTTTAGGAGGAAGACTTGTAGTTGTTGAAGGGACGGTCGTTGCAACAACAGTTGTTGAAGTCACATCTGGTGCAGAGAAATCAACAGCAGAAAGAGGAAGTTCAGGAAATAAAAGGTAAGATCTAATCAAAAAGAACAAAGTGAAAGAATGACTCACCGTTTCTAACCGTCACAAGGACACATCGCAGCTCAGACTGGTAGATAGAACTGGAGGCACTGTGGGGATAATTTAACACAAAAGTTTCATATTAAACTCTTTTTGAAATGAGCATCAAATAATATTTGGAATATCCTTAAAGGGTCAGGTCAGATAATAAACAGCAGTTGTACATCTTGTGTTTATCTTTATACAGCAAAGGGAAAAGCTTTCATTTTTACATTTACTTATGCAGTGCACAAGAGAAGTCAGTTGCACAATTTAATCTGCAAACTTCAAATTCATCAAAACTTTTAGATTCATCATAAATACCTAAAATCCTCAGTGAGAGATGATTACTCCAGATCCAGAACTGGGACTATCACTTTGAGTCATATAGCGCAGTATAATGATTTGAGCTTCAGATGGGCAGTGATCATGTTTATACTGATTTCTTATGCACTCACCGACTAGATACACCTGTCCAACTGCTCGTTAATGTTGAATCAGCCAATCACATGGCAGCAACTCAATGCATTCAGGCATGTAGACATGGCCAAGACAACCTGCTGCCGTTCAAAGCGAGCATCAGAACGGGGAGGAAAGGTGATTTAACTGACTATGATGTTGGTGCCAGACGGGCTGGCCTGAGTATTTCAGAAACTGCTCATCTCCTGGGATTTTCACGCACAACTAGGGTTTACAGAGAATGGTCTGAAAAAGCAAAACTATCCAGTGAGCAGCAGTTTTGTGGGCGCAAATGCCTTGTTGATGCCAGTGGTCAGAGGAGAATGACCAGACTGGTTTGAGCTGATGGATCGGCAACAGTAACTCAAATAACCACTCGTTACAACCGAGGTACGCAGAAGAGCATCTCTGGACGCATCGAACCTTGAGGCGGATGAGCCACACCGGGCGCCACTCCTGTCAGCTAAGAACAGCAAACTGAGGCTACAATTCGCAGAAGCTCACCAAAACTGGACAGTAGAAGATTGGAAAAACATTGCCTG